TGGCAGCTTTAAGAACCAGGGAGCAGTGAGTGGAGACGGAGCCATGACAGAGCACCTCAGTGGGAACTTGGCAGCTGGTGGACTAGAACCTGGAACCTTCTGGACCCAAGGCCACTTCCTTCCGGGGGAATGATTCCTTAAGCCACCACTGCCCCCCCCCCAGTTCCTTTATACTCTGAAACTGACCAGGAGGGGAGAGCAGAGGAGTCACATTGTTGTTGCAACATGTCACTAACTCTTCATTAGTGCAATTATTACAGAAGAAACGTCTGGACACATGGGAGATAAAGAACAAAAGAGCAGTACTTAAGTTTAAAGAGTTCAAGAGAGAGGACAAAGTTCAAGAACCTGCTCTTTGTCTATCCCTCTCACCCTCCCTCCCTCTCTCCCTCTCTCTCTCTCTGTCTGTGTCTCTCTCTCTTTCACTCTGTTCAAGCGAGGGAGTAAAGTTCAGAGTAGTGAGGAGGAGAGGGAGATTGCTGTGCTGCCACACAGAAGAACTTCAGATGATCTCAACGACACCAATGAGGTGAGTGAACACTTTCACACACTGACACTGACACACACACACACACACACACAAACCTTAACTATTTCAAATGTCTAATCTTAGTCTGTACCTTACTCTAATCTGATCCTAATTCCAATCTTAACTTTAAACTAAGTCTTCAACCTCAATACTCTCTCTCTCTTAGAGACCTGAGAAACACAAGTTTTATGAAACATTACCTGTGTGTATGTGTGTGTGTGTGTTTATGTGAAGATGGGAGCCTCACACTCCTCCTCCTGCTGTTCGTCTTGCATCAGTCTGAAGGACAAATGTCCTCGTCCTCGGGGACTCTTCAGCCTCGTCATCACCAAAGGTGTGTTTGATGGTATCACTGTGTCTACACTTCACATTTATGTCCCTGCTAGCTGTTAGCTCAACCTATTTGCGCACTTGTACAGTGTGCCTGTTCGCCCTGCTCTTCGGCGTGGTCTGGTCCATCACAGGAAGTGAGTGTTTACCTGGAGGAAACCTGTTTGGCATCGTCATCCTCTTCATCTGCTCTGTCCTCGGGGGGAAACTAGTGGGAATGATCCAACTGCCCACTCTGCCTCCCTTCCCTCCGTTGCTTGGTACAACACGACCCGGCCATCTGATCCTGTCTCCTCTAGTCTGACGTCCTCCAGACCAACTCACACCTGGGTCCTGATACGCTCTGTGTGTGTGTGTTCTGGTGCAGGTATGCTGCTGGCCGGACTGCTGTTGCGTAATGTTCCCTACATCACCGACGCCATCTTTATTGACACACACTGGTCTGCAGCTCTGAGGAACATCGCCCTGTCCATCATTTTGACCAGAGCTGGACTGGGCCTGGACCCCTCGGTAAACACAAACACACTCAAACAATACACAACCATACCCAGGGTTAGCCAACAGGGGGAGACATCATTCACACACTCAAGTAATCTATTCCCAGATTTTTCCTTCAGTTCAAGCACAGGTTGTGGATAGTGATGGTCAGTTGGTCTCAACATCTGTCAGTGTGTGAGGAGGACAGAGCTGAGCTTGAAGTTTAGTTTGAATTTCTGAGGTGAAACTGGACACATTCAAGTAGAGGGAACCGATGATTGAGCCAAATGTAAACAGCTGTTGACGACAACCAATGAGAGAGATGGAACAACAGGAAGTACAATCAGAAGACAACAGGAAGTAGAAAGAAGATTGTGAAGAGTGAGAGAGTGGAGACAAAGTGAAGCAGCAGCACAGAGGTGGAGGAGAGACTGATGGAGCTGTGGCCAGAGCACTAGTGTCTGTAGTGTACTGCGCTGTAGTGTACTGTCTGTTGGTACTTGAAACGTCAGAGGTTAGGGTTTGACTTCATTTGCTTTAACAAATCAAAATTCAAAAACCGTTAAGAATGTGAAGGTTGTGTAGTGTGTCCTCAAAGACTAAAAATTGCATGTGTGTGTGTGTGTGCAGGCATTGCGTCGTCTGAAGGCGGTATGTGTCCGGGTTGCAGTGGGACCCTGTACGGTGGAGGCCTGTGTTGTTGCTGTGGTCTCTCACTTCCTCCTGGGTCTCCCCTGGGTGTGGGGCTTCATACTGGGGTACCAAACAACAGACAAAAACACAAGCACATAGAAAAAGAAGTGTTTTTTTCTTCTTCTGGGACTCTGACTGTGTCTCTGTTTGAGTAGTTTCGTCCTGGCTGCTGTCTCTCCAGCCGTTGTGGTTCCTTCGATGCTGCTTCTGCAGAAAGAAGGCTACGGAGTGGAGAAGGTAAAAGAATCACCATAACGATGGCTGTTGCTTCTACACTGCCATCTGGTGGTGCAAAAAGCCCCTCACCCACCTTCTAGACCCCCAGAATCATGGGTTTCCTTCAGGAACAAAAAGCTGTCCCTTCAGGGTTCCTTTAGTTCCTCATTGTCCTCACTGTGTTTCACCATGTTGTGGTTGCTTGTGTTCAGGGAATCCCCACTCTGCTGATGGCTGCTGGGAGTTTTGATGATGTTTTGGCCATAACAGGATTCTCTACATGCCTGGGAATCGCCTTCTCTACAGGTCTGACCGGGTTCTGCTTGATGTTGTTCAGCTCTGCTCATCTCCACCTCTGTCTTCTCTGAATGTTGACCTTCATGTTCCAGGTTCAACTTGGATGAACATTCTAAAGGGTCTGCTGGAGGTGGTGGGAGGGATCATTGCAGGGCTGATCCTGGGTCTGTTTTTGTGCTTGTTTCCAAGCAAAGACCAGGTTTGTCACAGATCATCGAGATGCTCATGGAAAATGTCTTATTGGATATCAAGTTCCACTAAGAAGAAGTTGTTAATATTAAATTATTTAAATTCAAAACCTAGTAAAGACTGTGTTTCAACCTTCAAATGACCATAACAACATACTGTCGTTCTGCCGCTGTAGGAGGACCTGGTTTTGAAGAGAACTCTCATGTTATTGGGTCTGGCCATTTTCTCCGTCTTCTTCAGTCATGTTGTTGGTTTTGCTGGTGCTGGCGGTCTCTCTACACTGGTCCTGGCCTTCCTGGCAGCTCTAGGCTGGAAAACTGACAAGGTGAGAACTGTCTGAGCTTGGAATGGTTTGATCTGGTCAATATGTGTTTGAAATTGTTCCCCAACTGCAAGTCCAAACGATCAAACAATGTTGAACTTTGTATGACGTGTCATCAAGTGACACTGGTTTAGCCTCGAGCTGTTTGCATCCTCTGCTTGTAGTTATTTGTGAGAAAAGTCAAACAGCCAACACACTAACGAATGACTGCATGGCAAACCTGTGTGGCACCAGCTGTCCTCAGTCAGACTACCTTAAAAAAACGGAACAACTTGACATTTGTATGAAACTCTGGCTCCCAGAGCTATCACCAACTAAACAAACTAAAATTTTACAAAATGTTGATTCCCTTGCCTAGAGATCTTAAGCCGTTGACCTGCTTATGCGCCCATTCCTCCTTAACAGGGAGACATTTAGACCCGAGTCTATTGAATCTAGACATTTGTTTGTCTCCTTTCCCAGGCCCCGGTGGCAGCTATGGTTGGTCGATCCTGGGATGTCTTCCAGCCTCTCTTGTTTGGTCTGATCGGAGCAGAGATCACCATCGCAGCCCTGAGCCCCAACACCGTGGGTAAGAACCTTGTGCCGCGCCTAGGTGGCATCAACATACTTAGTGCACTAAGAAAGGACTACACCTGCTGTCACTGTTGACCCTTCCTGTCTTCAGGACTAGGCCTGGCCTGTATCTTCATCGGCCTGGTGATCCGTCTGATTGTTACCTTCGTGTTGGTACATTTTGGGGGATTCAACCTAAAGGAGAAACTCTTCATTGCTGTGGCCTGGCTGCCTAAAGCCACTGTTCAGGTCAGTGCTAGCTCTCTGAGAAAAACAATCAACAACAAACAAACAAACATCAGAACATCTTTTAATTTGTTTTCGAAGACCCTTACCCATTAACTACGGTGACTCATTAAAATTCGTAGAAGACCTGCAGGTTCTTTTGGTTGGGACTGTACATTTCATCTTATATTCCACTGGTTTACTCTCTTCTCAGGCTGCTATTGGTTCCAAAGCTCTGGACATGGCGAGGGAGGTAGGGGACGAGACTATGATAAAATTTGGTCTGGATGTGCTAACGTTAGCCGTGTTAGCCATCCTGACCACAGCTCCTATTGGAGCCCTAGGTATTGGCCTTGCAGGACCACGCCTCTTGGAGCAGCAAGTCAAAGGTGAGGTGATTGGTGGTCCTCCAGAGATTTAGCTTTTTGAAAATTATGAAAATTCAGGACTTTTTAACATTTATAAATGTGCTCTTTTCAGATGAAACAGAAGGTGAAGCAACAACTTCAACTTGCAACGGGGTTGTTCAAGAAAAGGACTATGGAACCCTGGAGAGCAAACTATAAGTCTTCTAATAACAGATCTATGTAAAATACATATATTTTATTAAGGTTTTCATTTCTCTCCAGGGCTATATTAATTTGTATCTAACTATTCCATAGATTAGTGTATATTTTGGCCTTTGACATGAATCACATACAGTATATGCTTGTTGTATGTTACATTTGTGCTGTGATAAGCTTGTGTTAGGTGAATGCTAACTTATAGTAACGTATGCTGCACTTTTTGGGAAGCTACATCTGTGTTGTGCTGAAATTCAACTATTTTATAACCTTTTTCACTTCTTTAAGTTTTACTTTGTCTTTTATAAATTTTTATTTGCTGGGAGATACCATATGTACCGTTAAATCTTTGCTGTACTAAAGGAGACATTACCTTTTAAAGACATTAAAATAGCTTTAATAATATAAAATAACTTTGAATTTGATTTTTTAAGGCACTTATGTTGGCTTTTACCCATGTTAAAATGACCTCTTTCCATACCTGTACTATTGTTGTTTTTTTCCTGTTTGTTTTTTTCATCATATTTTGCAAACATACTGATTATTTTATAAGATTTTAATCATTTTATGGCATTTTTAATCTATTCAATTTTTTATAGCTTCTGTTGGCTTAAACAAACACACCTCTCATATTCAGTTGCATATTGGATATTTTTTTTTCATATAAATTTCATCAATATTTGGCCAAGTTAGAATTATATTTTATGATTATTATTCTGTTTTCATTTTGGCCTCCCTTTCTGAAGCTTTCAGGCCAAAACTGTTCCAAAATAAGATATCGTCTCGTTTTTAAAATTTAAATGACGATTTTAAGGTATATGAATTGTGTTATTTGGTGATACAAAATGACATCCCATCCTCGAGGGGGCGCTTGGTTGTCTGAGCTCACCGGAATCGAAGATATAGTATTCAGGCGGACAGGAAACGCCTATCGTTGTTTGGTTGTACTGCTGACAGTGTGGCGGTGAAATTCCATCTCCTGTTGCTGAGCTTAATCTTCTCTGTGTAAACAAAAGAGTTTAAGGTAGATATAACAACTTAACGTCTTAATGCGTGTTGTTCCTGGTGTTTACGTAAATATGTGCTGGATTGAGGTGTATAATACCGTATTCACGTTAGAGGGTTTGAATAGCACTGATGCTAACAAGCTGATTAGCTGCTGTTAGCTTAGTCCAGCGGACGACTACCAGAAAATCTGGAGTTTCTCAAAAAGAAAAGGTTTTAAGATGTGGTTGTTTACAGCGCTACCTTGTTTTGTTAAATTGAGTGATAAAGTGATAACACGTAACGATACGTTCACTGGCTATCGAACTCCGAAGTCATTGCTAAACATTATGTTAATAGGGTTTTGTTGTTTAAGCCTTTCCTCGATGATTCTTAAGCATCGGTAATATTTAATTAATAGGAAACTTGATCTTTAATATCTCTCATAAAAACAAAAGAAGCGAATGATAATGGCCGCAACTGTAAATTTACTTTGTTTAAAACAGCAATACACTGTCATTATTCATTTCATGTTTATTAAAATGCAGTCTTATGCATTAAATGTTAACAAAAACATCCATTTAGTTAGATCTATTTAAACAGCAAATAAACTGTATTCATAGTTACCGTTTATGTACTGGACGAAAATGCTGTCGGTGTGACGAATCCTGGTGGAGAAGCATATAAAAAAATATGTTTTGTTATTGCCAGACTTCTATGCGGAACACAGATGATAAAAAAAAAAGAACAAAGATGGAAAGATTCAAGAGATTTGGTCGTAGTTGTTTGTGTTAAATCGATGCTAGTCTAAATCACAAGATGAGCCAGCTAAAAAGAAATGCAGGAGAGAAGACTCCTCGAGCTGTGTTTGGAAAGTCCTTTGATCCTTTGAAGTGATTAATAACCCACAAACAGTGTTATCTTTGTGTGTGCATTGGTTTAAGTTTTTTAGTCAGACTCAAACTCAGGTTTGGTTTTGTGGTCAGAAAAGAAGATGCCCTTCATTTGGCTCAACAAAAAAATATAAATGCTCTGTTGAATTAAAGCAAAAAAAAAATGAGAGCACCATCATGTTTGAGTCGGGCATCAGCTCCAGCCAGATCGAAGAGAAACGGTCTGTGTGTCTTTTTCAGTCCAATGGGAGACAGCGATGACGAGTTTGACAGGAGGCGGCGTGACAAATTCAGAAGAGAGAGGAGCGACATGGAGAGGTCACGGGAAAGGGAGGAGAGGAGGAGGGACGATTGGCCCGACAGGTAAGAATGTATTTCTTTGTCAGTGATAAATCATTTTGAAAACTGGACACCTGTTGGTTGATTGGTGTATCTCTAATTTTAAGGTTGTTCTGTGTTTGAAACTGCTCTTTCTCCTCATCAACATCATAAATTGTAACGGTTGTACAGATGCAAAACCACATATTTTCTGTATGGACTTTGTTGTAGAAGAACTGAGATATTCATGAGATTTTGTTTGACTTTGTTCAGGGACTGGGACCGTGGCAGAGAGAGAAGGCGGGATTACGATCGCGGTCGCAGGGAGAGGTTTTCTCCACCCAGACACATGAGTCCACAGCACAAACGCATGAGGCGAGACTGGTGAGCGTGTACCCCTGCATCTCTGTGTCCCTCTTACATTTTTACATTAATGTGCACACTGACCATCTTTAGGCCAAATGTTTGCAGGGATGACCACCGGGGGGAGCCCTACCGCTACGATCTGCCCTATGGTGGAGGCGGGGCACCATTTCCTGGGGTAGGGCCTCAAGGATGGCCCCCTGATCTGCCCCAACTTCACCCCCACCATGGATGTCACCCACTGCATGGAGAAGCATATACACACCCACACACACACACACCCACACACACCCACACCCATATTCTAGTAAAAAGGAATTCCATTGATGGAAAACTCAAAGTACTTGATTATTTTTTTTCATTTAAAAAAACAAGTAAATGGAATGAACTTGACAGTATTTGTTCTGCTATTCTTTTAATCAAGAAAAAAAGAAAGTGAATTATTTGTCACTGTGACACAGCTCACCACTGCACACAACCAAATGTGACCTCTGTTTTTAACCCATCACCAAAGTGAACAGTGGCAGCTTTAAGAACCAGGGAGCAGTGAGTGGAGACGGAGCCATGACAGAGCACCTCAGTGGGAACTTGGCAGCTAGTATCATATATCATATATCCAACATATAATTTAATCTAATATTTTAAACACTTAGAATCTTGGCATTTTTCACCTTTTAAAAATACATTTAAATGACTTATTTCTGTTAGATATAGAAAAGCTGTGAACAAGTCTAAATACTGGGACATGTTTTTTTTTGTTCTCTGTCTTTCGCTTTTTAGCTCTGTGGTTATTATAAGATAATGTTAGCTATTGTTTGGTTAATTTGTAGCAGTGTTTAACTTTAGTCGTCTTATTTTTATCTTTCTGCTACTCTGCTACAAAAGTCTTTGGCCACTTCTATCAGATACTCATTGCCACCTTTTTCCATACACTATTTGTTACATATTTAACGATTCAAGTTTTTAATCTCTTGTGTCCCTGATGATCAGGTTAGGGATGGTGGACCCAGACCTTCCTCCTGCTGGTCCTCCAACAATGAGGAGCTTTAAAGTAAGTCAGCCAAAACTGCAGTGAGTTTCCTGAATTGTGGGTAATGTTTTTGTATATTGATCCTTCTGTGTGCGTTAACGCAGGAGTTTCTGTTGAACATGGAGGACAGCGTAGATGAGACGGAAGCGGTTAAGCGCTACAACCAGTACAAGCTGGACTTCAGGCGGCAGCAGCTGCAGGACTTCTTTCTGCAGCACAAAGAACAGGAGTGGTTCCGCTCCAAGTACCACCCTGATGACATCACAGCCAGGAAGGCAGAGTCTCTGGCTGCTCTGAAGACACGACTCACTGTTTTCCTCTTCCTGCTAGATAACAACTGGCTGGACAATGTGTCCCTGGACATGGACCATGCACCTGCCATCATCAAGCTGCTGGATGCAGGTGAGCTCCAGGTTCATCGATCACATAACCTCCTGAGATTTCTAGGTGATAACTTATCCTTCATCTGCAGCTGTGATAAAGATGGAGGGAGGCACAGACTTTGACCTGCAGGTGTTGGAGGTTCCCACGGCTCCTGTGGCAGGAGCTGGGGAGAGCAGCAGTACAAGTGGAGTCACAGGAACAGAGAGGAGTCTGGGAGGTTCCAGCAGTGTGAACAGTGACAATCAGAACACTTCTGAGGCTGCTGGTAGTCGGATGCAGGGGGCAGACGAAGAAAAACGAACAAGTCAGAGTAAAGAGGGAGCTAAGGTCAGAGTGCTGATGTCATAACTAACATAAATTGTGACTCCCCCTAAGTAGTATTCCTTAAGTTGCCAGTTGTTTAATTTAGGGATGAATGTTAACTTATGGAATGAATTTCAGGACTCTGAGGAGGTGAAGCAGAATGGAGAGAAGGATGAAGATGAAGAGGATGAGGAGGATGAGGAGAAAAAGGATGAGAAGAAAAAGAAGATGAAGAAGGTTGCTTCTGTTGTTTTGTTTTGTTTGATCAAAGGCAAGTCAACATTGAGTCAAATTCTGTTGCTGGAGTTAAATTCCTTTCCTTCCATGTCTCAGGGCAGGAAAAGAAAACGCAGTGTGTCAGCAGACAGTGGTGAGGGCAGCGCCTCTGACTCTGACTCCTCCCACTCTGATGGAGAAAAGGAGGAGGACGATGAGAAAGAGGAGGACGAAGATGCACCGGACGGTATGGAGTAATTAATAATGCGAAAAAGTTCAAGAATTAATAATAAATATAGAACAACACAGTAAATGGCGTGTGTGTGTGTGTCAGAGCGCCGCAAAGAGCGGGGCAAGGACAGAGAGAAGGATGTTCCGGCCAAGCCCCGCCCCCTTCACCTCACCACCTCTCTGTTCATCAGGAGTATCCCTCCAGAGGTTTCCAAAGAGGAAATCACAGCTGTGAGAGATAACACACACACACTAATATTTCAAACACAAATCAACACATTGATACCTGAACTAACTCGGCTAATGTATTCCTGTGCAGCTATGTCGCAGGTACCCAGGCTTCCTACGGGTGGCACTGTCAGATCCTCAGCCTGACAGGAGGTGAGCATCAATGCTGTATATTCCTACACGAAAGTCCATAGAGAAAATCTATGTTTTGTTCACTGAGACCAAGGAGCTGGTCATCTGCTGCCTCTTGTGGTCAGTTTGTGTCACTGAAGTGAATCTAAACAAAATAAAACATTTAATAGAGGCACAACTGATGTATCACTGTGAACTAAAATCTCGGATGTTTTCTCTGAAGTTTTGGTGTGCAACAACTTGTGATGGACTGTGTAGGCTTACTTTGGTTTTTGTGTTTGTGTCAGATTCTTCAGACGCTGTTGGGTGACCTTTGATCGTAGTGTGAACATCAAAGAGACGTGTTGGAATCTGCAGAATATCAGGGTAACTGCATTTACCAGACAAGCCTACAATTTTACTGAGACGCTGACATTAAGGACAAACCCCTCTCTTCTCCCCTCCTCCACCTCCCTCTCTTCCCTGTGCTGCTCCTCATCCTCAGCTTAGAGACTGTGAGCTCTCTCCTGTGGTGAACAGAGACCTGTGTCGACGTGTGCGCAGTGTCAACGGTCTGACTCACCACAAACCTGTGGTGAGAAATGACATCCGTCTGTCTGCTCGACTCATCCACAGTCTGGACCAGAAGGGGGAGCTGTGGGTGGGACAGGTGAGGGTAGCCCGTTCCACCTACACCTGTCAGTCCACACTCAGTGTTCAACTGTGCTAACATAATAAACCTGAATGCTTGTATAGATGGAGACTAACCCAGTCCTGAAGAACATCACAGATTACCTGATAGAGGAGGTGAGTGCTGAAGAGGAGGAGCTAACAGGAGCCTCCAGGGGAAACGGTGAAGAAGCAGGTGATGGTAAAGACCCCGCCTCCTCCTCTGATGTCACCCTGGAGACAGACGATAAGCTGTTGAAGGTGGGGGGAGCTTCAGATTTACTGATGAAGTGTTGTAAGTGGTTCCCCTGGTGATAGTGTGGTGCTTGTGTGTGTCTGTGGATGTGCAGGTTCTGGACCGACTGCTGCTCTACCTACGTCTGGTCCACTCTGTAGATTATTATAACTTCTGTGAGTATCCTGCAGAGGACGAGATGCCTCATCGCTGTGGCCTCATCCATGTACGAGGACCTCTACCTGTGGCCAAGATCACTGCAGCTGAGGGTATAGTACTGGACTGTCCACTACAGTGACATGTCTGACTGATGCATTATCTCTTAACAGATACAGGCTGTTACCCTGGCGTGGTCATATGACTGTGTGCTGTGTGTTTTGATTGAACAGTGAGCGAACATCAAAGGATGTGTGAGGAGCGTCTGTCTCCACTGCTGTCTCCCTCAGAGACGTTGAGTGAAGAGGAAGCAGTCAGGCTGGGAAAGAAAGACCCAGAACAAGAGGTAACTCCTTTGTTTCTGTCTTTCTCTACTCAGTCCACCTGGTGTCTTCATGTCTTCTAGTCTGAGCCCTGACCTTTGTCTCAGTCCTTTCTAAGTTCTCTCTTCGTCTCCAGGTGGAGAAGTTTCTATTGGCCAACACTCAGGAACTCAGTAAAGACAAGTGGCTGTGTCCTCTGAGTGGGAAGAAGTTCAAGGTGAGTCAGAATGGAACCAGCTTCTTTATTTCCAAAACTTGTCCAGTACAGCTTTTGAATCACAGGTCATTTGTTGTTTGTGTGTTTGTTGTTCAGGCTCCTGAGTTTGTTCGTAAACACATTCTGAACAAACATATAGATAAGGTCACTGCCGTCAGACAGGAAGTGGACTTCTTCAATAACTTCCTGCTGGACACTAAAAGACCATCCCTCCCTGAGAATAAGCCCCTCCTACCAGCACCGCCGGGTCAGACACATGTGCACAAACACACTTTAGCAGACAACTGAATTCATGCTGGTGAAAGGAATTTCAAGCAACAGTAATTGAATGTATTTTCTCTTTTAGCTGCGCCCCCTGGTGTCCCAGGATTTCCTGGTCAGTCCCCTCAGCAGCAGCAAAGCCTTCTGGGATATCCACCTGGAGTCAGACCTCCAATGCCTGGCTTTCCTGGTAAACTGGTTTTTGTTTGACCCCTTTGGAGTAAATGTTGGTGTCTACACCAGTTTGTAAACTCACACTCCCATTCAAAAGTCCATAGAGGAAATTAGTGATTTAGCTCAGACAGACCTAGGACAATTGTAGGAATGTCACCTTTATTAAGAATTAAAGTCTGTGGTCTGAGCCTTTAGCTAAAAAAGATGACTATAGTGACATGGATGCCACTTGAAGGTGGAAATTTTTGGTGAAGACAAAGTAAGACACTGAAACTGCCTGGCATCTAAATTTGGGATTATTATTATTGTCTCTGTCCAGGATGGACAGTTGTTAAACGGTTATCAATGGGCATGAGGTTGATTTGGCCACTTTACTGTCCTGACTTTGTGAAAGTTTCATTTTTTTCAGATTTTCCAGATCAGCAAGTAAAAAATCACAAGCTCTGTGTGTGTCTGTCTATGTCCAGGTGCAGGTCCTCCGTACCCCCCCAACCAGTTTGGTGTGGGTCGCGGTAACTACGACAACTTCAGAGGTCATTTAGGAGGAGGAGGTTTTCCTGCACAGCAGCGAAACAGGTACTTTTTAATTATTGATAGTAATAATATTACATTTAATATACAATATTAACAATAGTTTGATTTATCTGACCTTTGACCCCTTCTCTGACCAGGGGGGTGCGAGGTGATCCTCGTTCCATTATTGAGTACAGAGACCTGGATGCTCCAGATGACCTGGACTTTTTTTGAAGCCAACTCAGTCAAACCACAGGAATTTCTTTTGTTTTTTTTTTAAGATTTTGTATTTCTACATTTACCACGATTCCTCTAATTTTACCTCCATGTTAATTTTGTTTTAATTTTGGTTGGATCTTAGGTGAGTGTGTGATTGTGAGTGTGTCTGTGTGTATGTTGTGGGATACATTATTGTCATTATTGATGGTGTTTATGATTCATTCCACTTTACAATAAAGACAGAGGAAGACTGGAGATTGTGTGTGTGCTCACATTGTCTGTAATTATGTTGGGTTTGACAAAGTCTAATGTAAAAAAAAAAACCCAAAACAAACAAAACAAAGCTAACTAATACTCAACTTAGCCAAGCTTTTAACAGATATTTCTTTGTTTAAAAGTGATTCTGTAATGAAAAATACTCTGATCCACACTCAACAGGGAATATCTGCTGTTGTTTCACTGCTGCCTCGTGTGGTCACTTTGTATAATGTGATCACAGATGGACAACACACCACTGCACACAATAATGTGTCCTCAGCCTTTAGCCTTAGTGAACAGAGGGCAGCCAAAGTTTAGCGCCTGGGGAGCGTTGTGGGAACAGTGACATGCTCAGTGCACCTCAGTGGGACCTAGTGGGTAGGTGTCAGTAAATTTCACAAATTGAAACCGCCCTGTAATTAAAGGGATGAAAAACTATATTTACGGTTTGTTTAAAAAAACGCCTTTAAAAGGTGAACGAAGAAAAAAAAATCAAACGATTTTCCAAAAAATACAGAAAGATACAGAAACGATAAAAGACAGTTTAATGTAGATACATTTGGGATTTTTAAAGTTTCACATTTCCGCTCCTTGCTTGAATTTATTTGTAAAATGTAAGTCTTTAATTTTCATCTTTGAAAATAAAGACACGGACCGTATCCTGGTGTTAGTGATGAAACTTCCGGTTTAGAGTTGCCCTAGAAACCGTAAAGGCGAGACGCGTTTGATTTTCTCAGCATTTCTGGGAAAGTTTGACACATTTCTGAGCGGTTGCGCGACGCACATTCTCTTTTACAAGTAACTTTGTAAGTTTGGATGTTCAGCAGTCGGAAAAATTAGATAACATTTGTGTGAACGTCGTTTAAACCGTTGTTTTCGCTCTGGGATGCCAAGCAGCTAACGTTTGCCTATTTAGCTTCACTATTTAGCTCCGCTGTGTGAGGCTAACCGGAAAGCGGTATAGCGTTATTATTTCTATGGAGAAGTTTGAGCGGCGTAAGGAAGTCAGTTTGTTAAGGAACCAGCCGTATGACGAGAGTCTGGAGGTGGGTGACACTGAGGAGGTGGCCAGTGTTTACAGCCCGAGTCCCCGCAGTCACAGTCAGGTACAGAGCAGTGAGCCCCGCCGGCTCTTGAAAAGTAAACTTAAGGCTATAAGAGGCTGTTGTTGTCGGTACAGCTCCAGAACCGACAACTGATCAGTAATAATTGGGCTGTGATTATCTTGTCACGATAGCTTTATCATCATTATAGCTAATAGTCAACAATATAGTGCAAAGTTAGTAGTTCTACTAATATATTACAACTACCAAGCTGATGATAACATGGTTTAAATAAAAAAACAAAAACAAGCATTCTTTAGTTTAGTTAGTTAAAGAAACGTAAAGAGTAAAAAAGTTAAATGTAACACTTATACACAAATAGTTAGTGAGAAATTGGTTGAAATTGTGGTTGTGCTACTTCTTGTTCTGATGGGCATATTTCTTATGTTTATTTTACAGCATCCCTCTCAGTCTAGAAGAAGTCGTGGTGTTCGTGGCCTGATGTCGGGAAACAGCAGCAGTGATGAGTTTGATGATGACCACAGGCCCCAGAGAGCCAAAGAGCTGGTTAGCGGGCAACCCGGGGCTAGTCCTAACGAAGAGGAGGAAGATGATGAAGAAGATGATGACTCTGAGGAGGAAGATTCAGACGACGACGATGCTGGGCCTGCTCCAGAGGGAGTTTATGATCCAGCGGACTATGCTAACCTTCCTGTTAGCACTGAGATTAAAGAGCTGTTTCAGTACATCATACGGTCAGAATGCTCTCATTTTGATAGCTTGAATAATGTATTTCATTTCAGTATTTCATTTACTAAAAGAAGTTAAGGGTGTTTCAGAAAGGGCAAAATATTAGCCGCAAGGTTAGGAAGAGAGCTATAGAATATACAAAATGAAACAAAATAATCCAGAAATTAAAAAAGAAACTCCTGGCACTAGATAGAAGAAAAATGTAAACAAAGGTGTTTAAAATGTGCAAAAATCTATTTTGCCTTTAATATTTTGAAGTTGTCTCAAAGTTAGCCAAAAAGAGCTCAATATTGTGATAGTATACAATGTCTTTGATAAGTCGCTGCTGTTGATTCTCTGCTGCAGGTACACGCCTCAGGTCATTGAGCTGGACCACAGTCTAAAACCCTTCATCCCAGACTTTATCCCAGCTGTGGGCGATATCGATGCTTTCCTTAAAGTATGTCACCAGATTTTAAAAACATTTTTAGAACTGTTTTATTAACCCTTTTAACAATAAAATTATATTTTGGAATTCATTTCTCACCCCAAATTTAATAGATTTTACTATTAGCACTATTTATCAATGACAACAACTGCCCACTCGAAGCAGCAATGTCTCTGATTTTCACTAGTATATCCAGCATGGATTCTTTACTTTAAGGCTGATCCTACTGTCGAGTGACCATGTGATCTCCCTGTGTGTTTTTAGGTTCCAAGGCCTGACAATAAACCTGATGGTCTGGGTCTGATGGTTCTGGACGAGCCCAGTGTGAAACAATCGGACCCCACTGTGATGTCACTCTGGTTATCAGAAGAAACCAAACAGCATGGAGCCACAGAGGTAAAATGGTTTACAGGGTGATGTTCATTTAGGGCTAACTGTTAAGTAACCATCACTGCTCTGACTCTTTCTGTCTGACCCTAATCTGTATAGATCAAAAAAGTCACTAGCGTGGCTAGTCCTCAGTCCAACCCTCGGGCCGTGGACAGCTGGGTGGAGAGCATCAGTGCACTGCATCTCTCCAAACCGGCAGCCAGTGTCCATTACAGCCGGCCCATGCCTGACCTGGACTCCCTGATGCAGGAGTGGCCACCGGAGCTGGAGGAACTGCTGGGTCGAGCCCAGCTGCCTGCTGCCAGACTGAACTGCTCTCTGCAGGAGTACGTGGACATAGTCTGCTCCTTGCTGGACATTCCTGTATACAACAGCAGAGTGCAGTCTTTGCACCTGCTTTTCAGCTTATACCTGGAGTCCAGAGACTGGCAGCATCTGACCAGACGGGGGCACTCATGAGGCTACGCTGTCTTTGTAAAAAAGTTTAAAATGTTCTTTATTATATTATTACTCTGTGTTTGTGTAACTATAAGGAGGCGGAGGAATTCAAATTTAATTCAACATAGAAGTGCTGCAGAACTGAATGGGAGTTAATACCATAATATGGTCACACAGGCAACGATTAGACAATTAGAAAGCTTTAATTAAGATTTAACTGATTTCTGGGTTATGATAAAAAAGTTATTACTTACTGATATTTGAGAAATTTTAAGATGTTTAACAATAATTACCAAAGAAATAACAAAGGATACATATATATACATATATATTGAAATGCTTTTGTGCAAAATGGCGATGAAGACGTGACCAAAATAAGTAAAAAAGTCTAATTACGTGATATAGTGGACGTTATGATATATATTTAATTAATTACATTTCCCAGAATGCACTGCGCGGTCATCATATCTCATTGTCCCTTTCCAACATGGCGGCCTCTGGCTGCGTCTTCCACCGAACCCTAACCCGGGTCAGAACCGGAGCCCGCCATCATAAAAGAAACCAGGTCTGGTAGTGTCACACACGGATTCGTTTGGCCTCCACTAAACCCCGACAATCCGCCATTTTCTTTTCTTTCTTTAAACACCAGCTACGACGCGGTATTCCAAAATATTAAACACCACACATAAGCACGATATTTAAAAATGTGTCTTAACGAACTCATGAATGTCGGAGACAAAAACTGAATTTTCCAGATTTTAAAATGGTTCATTTTACTGTGTGCTTGCGCATGTTGCTTAGATTTTGCATGTAACACAATAATAATAAAAACAGCCGTAAACTAAATGGATGAAGAGTAGTTAGAGAAATTATAAACATGCCGAACACGTTGCAAAACTGAATGTTTTTAAATGAGTGCTTACTACTTCAGAAATACGTCATAACTTCTTTACTGTAACAGAAGCAACTTTAACTTACCAATTTCCCAATGACGTTTGGTGTAGGCCGGTGTACATCTGTTTCACCTGTTAAAGTAACCTTAAAAATAATTTGTTTTAGAGCAAAATATTTTAATTAGTAACAGTACATTTACAATGTACTGTCCTTTTCACCATTATTTACCTTTAACTAAATACATTTTACAAAAATATTGCTGAAGTTGTCCAAAAATTAGCCACATTTTAAACGACGAGTTCTGTCAGACAGCTAAAATCTTGGATAAAAGATAGCGGAGAACAAAGAAAAGTAGTTTAAAACATAGTATCACGGAAAGTGTATAATTATTAAAAAAATAGCTGAAAGTTAATCTGGAAATAATTAAACATTAGATAAAATGTAGTAGCAGCCAAAGTGGTAGTAATAGTAGCTATAGCAAAAAGAGATTTAACCAAAACACTTTTTACTTGTCAATGTTCCTATTTGCTGTAATTTTGTCCTTGTCCTGTAGGTGTCCTCTTCCTCTGCGGTCTGTAGGGAGTCAGTGTGGGTGGTGGACGTGCATCGTTACACCAGAGATGAGGGTTCGTCTGTCTACTTCCCCCAGTCTGTCATCAACGGTGAGACAGTCTAGATACAGATGGACATGGAAAGACATTTGGGAATAATCCATCATTGATCATTTCATGAAATATGTTATTTTAGACAACAAATGCTGTGATAAAATAGCTTTTGTTTTTAATGACAGAAATAATTTGCAACATAAAAAAAGCCAAAATATAGTCAGAAATAAAGGTTATCAGAAATCACACAACAATCGTGGCAGGTCAGTCCAGTTATAGCTAAATGTAGTTTAATATTACAGTATATAGTTCACCATGATAGAATAATATTTAACAGACTGAAAACTATCTTGTTATGGTCTCACAGTCCTTGTCACATGTCACTTCTTCTGTTTTTCTATAGGTGATGACCTTTATGACCTGGTGTTGTCTGACGGTGACTGTCGTCTTCAGGTGACTCTGGATCCCGTTCTGAACCGGCTGGTTGAACAGAACCTTCTCAGACGTGGATCCATGCTGCGAAATGTGACCTTTGCTCTCACCATGGCTGCTCAGCCCCCAGTGTGCCCTGTGGCATCCAGAGATACAGACAGGTTAGGGGAGCTGAAGATGAGCCAAAGGTTTAGCAAAAAACAAATAACTCAGATCTTATAGACTAGTAGCTAATAGCAAGTAAAAAAATAGAATATAAAAAAGCTACCGAATTCTCTGGAGTATAAGTCGCACCAGTTTGAGTGTGAAAATAACAACCATATACATTTTTTGTGGTACAGCAGTAGCAGATACTGGTACACAAGCCTAGAGAAAAATAACAAACATGAGTATAAATCACAAACCCAGCCTAAAGATGAAAAAAAGTGTTACTGGATAATATGGTACTTGGGATTTTTGAAAATGTCTAAAAATATTTAATGCAGCTGAAAACATTTTTAACTGTAAATAAATGAGGCAAGAAATTCTAAATATTGCTTTAAGGATAGTTAACTTAATACTTTTTGTTGTCAGAGATTATAGAAAAAACCCTAAAATGTTAGCCCAGAGAAGATGTAGAAAATATGACTTGTTGGTCCAAAGAGTAAAATAAAGACACTTTGTCTTCCTGCAGCTACAAACTGCTCACTGCTGAGGTCAGTGCTTCGGACGAGGGTGGAGGCAGGAGGACTGTGGACTGGTCAGATTTGCCTTGGTTCAGATCTTCACAAACTACAGGTACTTTTTACACTGAGTATCATTTCCAAGAACTGTTTACGTTTCCAACACAGAATTGTGTGTGATCCTATAGGTCATGTGGTTCCTCTGAGAGCCAACCGCAACCTGTTCCTGCCTCTGTGGAACAACGTGGACTACAGCGGAGAAGATTGGAGAAAAGCTCCACCTACTGATGAGGAAGAAGAGGAGGAAGAGGAGGAGGACAGCGAGGAAGGTGGAGCTCAACTGTTTGATTTGAAGAGGAAACTTGTAAGTTTGACATTAAGTCAAATATTTTTTGTTTTATTTATTAAAAATAAATCTTTATGTTGTCAGCTCTTTGTCCTGACGTGACAGTGTCCGAGCTGCGTGACGCCTTCTTGTCAGGTCAGCGGGCTGTAGTCAGGGCCACCGTCTGCCGTCGCCTCATCATACGCATCCTCAGCAAGTCACACCTGATGTATTATGGGAAAGCAGACCACAACCGCCTGTATCCATATATGGTCAGTGTAAAATTAGCCATGTCACTAGAGGTTATCCGGGAAATTAGTTTAGTTCAGTTTAGTCAATAAAATATTCAGATGCAACTGAATGTAGCTGAATTAAAAAAACAGGAACAAGATGACATAAATATACTAATATACACATACAAATATATAATCACGAAATAGAAAGTAGAAAGTATTTTGTTAAATATTATAAAATGAATCTGAAATTGTTAGCTGGTATTATGTTAAAACCTGCTTAGGTTGACCAAATCCTTAATTTTTAATTAAATCACAAAAAATTAAAAAGAATCACAAAAATAGAGAAAGCTTTTATTTTCACAAAAAAGATCAAAGATTAAATTCTAAATAACTGTGTGTGTGTGTGTATGTGTGTGTGTGCAGGCATTATTAGAGACGTGTGACCAGACTGGAAGTGTGTGTCTGGTGCTCTGGGCTAGTGTGTGTGTCAACTGGTATTGTTGTCTGAAGCCGGGTGATGTCATCAGTCTGAGACACTACAGAGTCAAAGGAAAATACCAGGCAGAGCTGGAGGACATTGGTGAGATTTTTATGTTTCACTCTCTCGATCTTCTGGAAGTTTCTCCAGAGTTGTTTTTTGTGTGTGTGATCAGACAGGAACCCTAGCCCTGTTTCTGTTGTTCTGTCCAGAAATCAGTGTCAACAGCAGGAACCCCGCAGCTCGCATTTCTATCCTCCCAGAGTCCTCAGTTTCTCCTGGTTACCTCCCACCTGCTCCCACCTACAGCTTCCACAACAGGTGTGTTATTTAGTCCTTAATCTGCCAACTCACACTAGTGCAGCTTTGACCTGTAGTAGGTGTCATGTTATGTTTATAACAGACACACACCTACAGTCTCTGACTTTGTTTGTCAGTCAGGAGCTCATGGACTGTCCTAACGCCACTGTATGTGATGTCATTGGTCTGCTGACCTTTTCCGGCCGACCAGAGCGAATAAGGAGCAGGGGTGAGGGAGGTCATAGTCACCACAGAAAAAAATGTTTCTTTTATTTAGATTTTATGGCTTGGATAGAAAACATCAAGCCGCATGTGTTTTTTATTGGCAGAAAGTCGAGGGGCGGGGCTTATGGAGTATCGCTGGCTGAGACTGGAGGATGGGGCCAGCCATCGACCAATCATGGTGAAGCTCTTCTGCACATCTCAACCTGAAACTCACCGCCACCTTTATCCACGTGAGACATCCCACATGAACCTCAGTCCGATGATCTCCATGGTATTGTTACTTGCTTTACTGATGCATGTTTGATTTGCATCTGTTTCCAGTGTCTGTGGTCGTTTGTACCAGACTAAAGGTTGTGAAAGCTGCAGGTGAAGCTCACGGCAGATTCTTCCTCACAAACACCACCTTCACTCAGGTTTACTGCACAGGTAACCAACAGCCGAGCCGAGAAACTGATGCATGCTCATTTGAATGTTACGTGATGATAAATATATATATATTTAAATATATATATATAAATAGCCAAATGTATTGCATTTGTGACCAATAGCCTTATTAGTTTAGCTTTCTTTCTCCTTATTGGTTGGTCATTCAGGCTGTGGGGACCACACACAGATGGGATACCGTAAGCTCCACCCAGTACGATGCTTCCTGCAGTGGCTGAGGTTACAGAAGGATGAACCTGTACTGAGCAGAGCTCTGATTGGAGGATTTTTTGTGTATCCACCCCCGCCTGTGTCTTTGAACATGTACATGAAAGAATGCAGAGGTCAGCTATAGTCCAAAATGAAATGAACTGAAATAATAAAATAAATAAATAAACCTTATTTTTATCTTCTCAGGAAAACCTGGTTTCCTACAGGGTGCAGAGATTCAACGGGACCTGCTGCAGCTCCTGTACAGGGAGAGGCGTAGCTTCTGTGTCCAAGCGAGGGTGACGATGGTGGCGTTCAGTCGTAGAGGAGAGGTGAGACGTCACTTCCTGTCTCTGATCAGAAGAAGTGCTGCTGTTGTTGGGGAGTCAGCTGTTGGTTTTGTTTCAGGAGGATCAGTCTTTGCTGTGGATGGACACATCTTCACCTGACTCCCCCTCCTCCTCCTTGTCCTCACCTTCAGTCTATAGACACTCCTCTCATGCTCCACCCTGTCCAGCCCTCTCCTCCAGTTCCACACAATTTGTCCCTCTTTTCATCTCCACCCCTCATCCCTCCAGACCTCCTGTCTCTCCCTCATCCTCCTCGCACAATTCTCCATCGTGCTCGTGCTCTAGTGTCGTTCGCCTGACTACACCTCCTGTGGACCACAGAGCAAGGTGAGATGCAGATGTAATTGGATCTTATACAATGACATTGACTCGTATTTTCATGCAGACTGTGCTTTTTTCAGCAGAAGCAGGAAGAGGAGGCTGTTGTTTCAGACTGAGACACCAAAGAAGAGGTGAGAGTTTCTTTTAGAATATCGAACCTGCTGCTAAGGTAAAAACATAAACTTTTATTTGATTAGCAGTTTCTTTTAACATGCGCACCAAAACAAGGTTGCTTTTAGTCTATGTTTCATTTATCTTTGCTAAAATACACACTAGTTGTTTCAGGTGAAAAATGTCAAATTATTATTTTTTCATTTTAGCGTGTCATTTGCAATTCACTGTGTGTACTCTGTGAGTACAACACAGTTTTGACGTTCAGTGGAATGTGACAAGTATAACGGCGTCATCAAACTTAAGGTCCTCAGTTAGCTGTTATTTAGCATTAGCTTCTTCTACCTTCTCCCATCTGTGAGTAAACGTTGGGCTTGTGCTTCCAGTGCTACGAGATGTCCGTTTAATTTATTACTTGTGTATGCCATTGTAATTTAAACATAAAATGAATAAATCAAAACAATTGATTAATTTATATGTGGCCACATAAAATTAAACATCTGGTTTTATTTATTTGATGACTTTAATTATTTAAACAATTGCACTGGGGGGCTTAATGACTTTAATTAATAACGTTTATTAATATTTAAGAAAATAATTATTTAATATTTAAGATCTACAGGGAGTGTTTGTTGTCGTGTTGTGAAATCACAATTATTGTGAATTAACACAATAATTGTGATAATTATTCTCATAACAATATTATATTATATATATATTATATAATATATATATTACATATATAGGATATATATAATATCTTAATATTACATTATATATTATCATATATTAATGGTATTTATAATATGTATATTATTTTATATATTATATGCTATAATGTATAAAATATCTTTATTCTCTGACAATAATCACACAAGGAAATCTAAAGTTGTAATTAATAATAATTATTATCAATAATATTATTATCAATAATAATTATTATTCTATTTTTTATTTTGTTTTTTCTTTTGTTTTTCTGGCTCAGATGTCCTCTGGCCACCGTACAACCAGAACAATGCAATGAGACAGGTCTGTGCTTGTTTAATTCTGATTATATTAAGTGTTTTTGTCATACAAGAAAGTGGACAGCAGCAAATGATGCCCCATAAAGTGCTGAGGTCAAATATTTAGATATTTGGTCTGTTAGTGAGCAATAGTGACTGACACCCAGCTCTTATTCTTGCAAACCTAAACTTTAAAAAAAGTATTCAATAACTTAACATTTAAGTATGAAAAAATTAATAATAAAAAATGAAAACAAAACATTTTTACCTGCCTTTTAATTTGTTAACTTAGAATTTTATTAATATTTCAACAAAATTCTATTTTTCAATTAATTTGGCAAAGATCCAAAATCACAGAGTAGTCCATATCAGTTATTGTTCTCAGTCCTCACAAATGAATATAAATATAACTGGTCCCCAGGAGTGGCATTAACAGGTTTTTTGTGCGTGTCATCAACTCCTCCCAACACTCAGTGGTCCTGTTTGAAGCATCCATGGAATTTTTAGAAAACACTGATAATGAAGATGCTGACGATGAGGAGGATTGTGATGAAACTGCGTCCTTCATCACCGCTCCACTTCCCCCAACTATTTCTCCTGTTGCCACGGAAACACTGCCAATGTGTTATAACCCCACCCAAAGAGAAAAGCAAGCTGAAGTTGTGGGAATGGGGGGGTGGGCGGAGCCTATGAGGTTTGACTCCCCCATCAAGGATTGTTATACTTTGAAACTCAAAGGTACACATGCTCTCTCTCTCACACACACACACACACATATAAATACAGTATATATATAATAACTCACATATAAACGAAACCAATGTTCTGAGTTTTAGGGTTAGAGGTGCAACCCATTGACATCTTTATTTCTCCTCAGTACTCTCTGATGGTGTCACGGTGGACGCCATCTTCCTTCCACTTTCTTTGTCCTCCCCCTGTTGTCAGCCCCTCCCCAATCACGACAATTCCTGGACCTCCATCTTATCACACGGAGCCTTCTCGTCGCATCAGCCTCCACCTTCACCAGGTACAAACTAACAAACACAAGACACAGTTATGATAATAGCTAATGTCAGTTATTTGAAAAGCGATGGCTGAGGACCTTTGTTGAACTGTAGCTTTGTATATTGTGTGATGGACCAGTAGCTGCTTTGTTTTTGTGAGCTAAAAATCTTCGGTGGACTTTGGTATTGATGAGGATTTGATTTTAGACAACTAGTGAACCCTCCTTTAGCATGTGTATATAAAGGATATATAAAACTTCCCTGATGTTCTTTCTGGACTGTTTCTCTGTGTCTGTCAGCTGACCTTATCAACATGGCGGCCCAGCTGAGTAATCAGAGGCTGGTGTGTGTCCTGGAGGCGTGTCGACTGAGAGGTGGAAACATAGAAGTCATCCTGAGCCGAGCGTTTCAGCTTCCTCAGTAACACCCCTTGAGAGGAAGAGGAAGTGTATTTATCTTTCTAACAATTAGGATGAGTATTTTAATGTTTTGCAATAGGTTTTGCACTTTTCTGAGCACTTTATTTTTATATATGTTTACAAATACATACATACACACTTTAGCATGTGTATCAGTTAATAGGTTGTTGTGCATTTTTTTAAACCAGGTTAACCTGTTTTCTCTACCCCTGCACCTTGGGATCCAGAACAATATTTTTGTTTCCACTGACTAGGTCAAGCCACAGTGTCGGCCATCTTTGTTTCCTCTATGTTTGTTTTCAGGTTTTGTAGCATCCTGTCTCAGTGGGGTCTGTGTCACTTCAATGATGTAACAGTCTGATAAAATGAGCGCTGAGCGTTCAGACTGAGCTCTTTTCAAAAACATCAGATATTGATCACATTTAGGAAAGTGTCTATCTGACCATTTGAACTTCCTCCATCTTTACTCTTGTGTGGGAGGTTGAGTCACAAACATTAGCATTTGTTGTAATGTTAACCAAGATTGGATGACAAGGTCAGCACATTCTTATGGTGTCATGTTCTTAGAATATAAAGTATCAGCATAGTTTTCGTGAGTGACAAATACTTTTTTTGTTACATTCTTTGATGTTTATGTAAAAAATTTTGCAAAAGGTGAAATAATGTTTTCTCCATCTTTATTTGCACAAATGCTGGTGCCAATAAAGCTTTCTGTTTTTTCTATCTGTTTAAAAGGCAAAGGGAAAAAAGTGGTTATTAGATTACAAAAACCAATATTCAGTCTTGAATATGTAAATTTATTTGATTTGACATCAAAGTTTAAACTGTGTTTTGTTGAAGTTAATAAACTTTTACTTGTACTTTTAGAAACAATCATTTTTGGGTAATTTTAAAAAGCAGTGACATCACAAAAAGAAAGCCGAATTCCCTCCTTCTCTTCTCTGGGTTCAGAATCTTTAATGGTGTCTGCTCCACAGTCAGCTGGTCTGGACTGAGTCCATCAGATTTTAATTCCTGTGTGTCGTTGACAGATGAAGTTCATTCTGCTGTTGCAGTGGAGGTCGTTGAGGCGCCCATCGTGGTGAAGGTGAGCACAGTCCTCGTCACCAGGGCCCAGACCATGGTGGGTCCAGCTGTCAGGTTGACCTGGTTTCCACCGCCTTTATGTTTAAAATATACATAAGATTTTTTTTTTCACTTCATGATGTCATAAAAACACCCTAAAGTGTCCACTCACCTGCGGTCTATGACATAGGGTGTTTTGTTGACCCACTCCCACTCCCCATCCTCATCGGTCAAACCAATCCAGTAGAAACCCCCATGTGCATGTTGGACCACATAGTCCTGTATGAGAAGAACCCAAAAACACAGTTATTTGAATATAAACTCATTTTTTAAGGAGACTGATTTACTCAGACAAAGGTGAAGACAGTCTCACCCACTCCTTGTCGCTGCTAAGAATGAGCAGGTGAGAGTCGTGGGAGTTGCACCAGTCTCGGGCTCTGTGCCAGGTTAATGACATCTTACTGTAAAAATAACAGCTGCCACCAAATGTGTCCCACTCCAGAGGACAACATCCATCCACATCTGAACCTGAGACACGGACAGAGAGGGTTAGGGGGTTTCTAACAGGTTCCAGTGATGGTGTGATGTGTTTACTGTCTTCGTACTGTTGTTGATGAGCCGTTCCACTGAACATTTCAAGGACTGCACTGATCTGATGACAGTGTCCAGGCTCGCCAACTGCTTCAAGGCCTCCGCCACTAGACAATCACATGATTACTACCAACAGCTGAAGCCTAGCTAACGACCATCTCCACTGATCTACACGTGTTACCTGAGGTCAGCTGATCCTTGTTGTTCTCCACAGCAAACTTCAGCCGGTGGACGTCTTTTCCTGCGTCTGTCAAAGACAAACGGGGCTGTCAGTGATGATGTCACCTTCAGTGATATTGTCACTTCACACTCACAGTGATGATGGTGGTTTCACCTTTAGATAGTTGCTGTGCAGCATTCAGGGTGTGTGTCATGTTGGACACACTTGTCTCCAAAGACCACAGTCTGTTAGACGTGGTTGTGTCTGCAGGGACCAGCACCGACATTGGAGTTAATTTATCTTGGGATAAATCCAAATACTTAAGTACTTCTAAAATGATTGTATAGTGTAACAAATTAATGAAGATATTGATAAGGGAGATATTAGTGATGAAGATGTTTAGATATTAATATATAGACTATAGAATGATTTCTTATAATGACAAAGAGGTGTGATATACTGTATGTAGATTATATACAACTTTACTGCTAACAGCCACAAGAGGACAGTCATGATGTATGTTTTGCAGCTATTCTACTCGAGCTTTATTTACTTTTGTCTGTTGTTGTTTCTCTATGTTGTCAGCGGATCAACGCTTAAAGAATTCATAAAAAGAATGAAGAAGAAAAGAAGATTATTTGCTCTCTTGTTTTGTGTGTGTGTGTGTGTGCGCGCGCTGCACACGCTTTCTCACTGATAGCTCCAAGTGCTATGACCAGAGCCAGAATAACCGTAGCTGTCAGGGCAGGAAACAACCAGGACCTGGACCTGGAGACCTTTGAGAAGGTGACATTGCGAGACTCTGACAGTGTGAAAACACACAGGGACAGACACAGAGAGACAGGTGGACAGATGAGTTAGTTTCTTTTGAGTCGGTAGGCCAAACACAGTGTCCTCACAATTCTCCAGACAGTGACAGGTACCAGTCCTCCAGAATGAGTCCTCTTCTGTGTTGTCGTGATATTCGGTCGTCATGGCGATATGTCCTTCCACAAAGTGTCCTTATCCTCTTCTCCCTGTCCTTTCTTCTTCCCTTTCTCCTGTTTTCTTCAGTCTGACTGCCTAAGAGTCAGTCTGTCCAAACACTGTGCCGGGGTCATCAACCCTGAGGATGTACTTTGAACACTATGGTGTGTGTGTGTTTGTGTGTGTGTGTAGAGTAAAATCCACCACCACAGATTTTAGGAAGCTAAAAGCCTTTTAATTTCATGCAGAAATAAAACAATTTCAGAAAAACAAAAATCACAGAAAACTCAAATTTGTCCAGTATTTGTCTCCACTTCCACAGAGTTTTGTTTTTTCAAATTTTTTTCTTCAAAACAAAAGCTTATTTTATACATTGGAAACCCATTTAAACAGAAAAGACTATTTGTGGTTGACTTCAGTTTCAGCTGTGTCTACATGTCCAGCAGTTTTACTTTGTTTCTGTTTCTGTCTGGCTTCAGAAAACTCTGGTCCTGGTCATGGAGGCTGTTGGGATCATGGACGTCCACTGGGCTTCTGGCAGATGAACTTCAGCGGTGTAAAGCAGCACAAGTCATTGAAACCATTGGTGATCAGGTGAGCGCAGTCCTCTCCTTCATCGCCATGGCCATGATCTTTCCAGTTGTCAGGCTGTCCAGGCCTCCAGTGTCTGGAAACCACACATGCTCTTACGGTTTTTAGGTATTAGTTCAAAACCAGATGGATCCAGAATGCATGAGGATTAGGAAGCTAGAGCAGATCTGACTGCAGGCACTCCTGAAGCAATTTATTTTGAATGAATCTGATTTGGACCTCTTGCTTTTCAACAAGCTCTTATATAGACCTGGGTTATAAATATAAAAGCAAGTATTCAGATGCAGGTCTGGATCCATCGTCCTCATGCCTGATACATCCCTTATGCTGTGCTAATGAACTTTATTTTAAACATTTGATAAACATTAGTCTTAAAGAAAGTCAAATAGAACCTGGAATCCATGATGTACTCAGTCTGGTCCACCCACTCCCACTTCCCAGTTCTCCAATCACTTAGGCCGATCCAATATAACTGAGAAGACGTTTTGCTGGTGATGAAGTTCTGGACAAAGAAGGACACAAAGGCAATAACATTATTTTCGTGTTTTTAATATGAAGTTCACTTAATATGCTGATGATGACATAGATGACTTTATTTCAAGCTGTCCAGCTTAGCTAATGACCTTTTTTGGTCTCATCAACCCCTTTGTCTACATTATGCATTTACTTAAATTCTTCCTCTTCCTCTCCAGGACACAGACCACTGGTAAAGACCATGAAACCAGTCTAATGCAGCAAGGAGATGGTTGAAGAGTTCTGTTCTCAAAGAAAGTTGCCTAACAGAACTCTTCAACCTTGACTATGACCTGGATGACTGAGAATCAATTCATAGGCAGTAAGGAGATGGTAAAAAACCAGATCAGTTTTCTCACCCACTCTTTGTCCGTGTTGAATTTGACAAGATGTGAATCTTTATTTTCACACCATGTTTTAGACTTGTTCCAGGTCAGAGGAAATTTGCTAAAGAAGTAACAGCTGAACCCTGAGTGTGTCCAATTGTTAGGACAACAACCGTCCACTGCTGAGTCTGGGACACAGATGAGAAGCAGAAACCAGGACAGGCCTGTTGTTAGCACATGACCATCCGGAGACACACTGAGAAAGAAATAGAACGAAGAAATAATAACACTTGAATTGGTGGGTCTTACCGTTGCTGAGGATGCTGTAAATGCCACATCTGAGTGTGGCGATGCTTTGGTCATGCCTCTGCGACTCTTATGAAAAAAAAGAAAGGGACCAACAGCTAATGATGCTAACAATTTAGCCAAGTTGTTATGTTACAGTGAATCCAAACAGTAAGTGTAAGCAGGTGGTACCATTTCTGATGCTGGAAACCTGCTGCTCCAGAGACCACTGGTGATTACGCAACATCACATCTAAATACACAGTTATTGTTTTGTTAGAAAACTTCGATCTGGAGACCAGGATATTATATATATGTATATATATATATATATATATATATATATATATGGATAGATAGTTAGTTAGTTAGACAGACAGACAGATAGATACATATACAGACAGCTCACAGGTCAACCACACCTCTATGATGATGATGATGATGATGATGATGAGGACCCCAGTGATCAGAGCAGGAAACAACCAGCGTCTGGGCCTGGAGGCTCTCTGGACCGCACCGGACACTGACAGACAGAACATGTAGAAATTCATACACAAATCTCAAATAGATGTAGGAAGAATAATAATTTATTGTGTGAACACACACTCCAAGCTTCCAAACCAGCATCAGTGAGGGAGAACTTCGACTCAACTAACTCACTGTGAGCATCCTTCTTGAATAAATTCGTAACTTTATGTTTCTGTGTAGGTCATTTAATCCAAAAATAGTTACACTGACCGCAACTAAATGACGTAGGTTTTTTGAAGACGTTTCACCTTTCATCCAAGAAGCCTCTTGGATGAGACGTGAAACGTCTTCAAAAAACCTACGTCGTTCAGTTGCTCTTGATGTAACTATTTCTGGAGTAACTTTATGTTGTTTACTGTGGAAATAACAGTCATATATTTTAAACACAACAAAATAATTCTAGTCTTAAATTTAGATTATCATCAAATATTTTCAGACAAAAGGCTGGAACTGTTTTGAGCTGTCCCAGTGATACAAGTAGAACTCACTTAAAGAAACGTAACATACTTGATCAGCTGTCTGTAACCGTCTACTTTATCCTCTGTCCAACTGCTGACTTTTTAAAGACATTTGAAGAATGTTTCATCCCTTAAACACTGACATGGTTGCTTTTGGTTCAATCTCTTGCTGTTGCTATTGTTACCTTTCATTTTGCTGACGTCCTCAGTGTTCAAGTAGATGTTTTCTGCCATCAGGGCCACTTTTCGTTGTCCCTCTTATGAAAACTGAAATATTTCTGATTTAAAGTTCTCTGTTGCGTCTAACCAGTGGGAGGATAAAATAAAGAGGAAGGAAAAGCAAAGACTTTATGCGTTCTCACTGCATGGTGTGAAAGAGGAACTTATCTTATCTACCTATCTAATCCACACAACTCAAAACACAACTTCTTGTTGAATTTAAGAAAAAACAATGCATTTTAAATAATTAAGTATTATATGAATAATCTGCAATCCAAGTAGCATTCCAGAATTCCCAATTGTTAGCCTGGATTAGGTTGAACAACAAGCAACAAGTTTGTTGCAGGATGAACATTACTATATTTTGTTAAAGTGTCTGTTTGGATTTCTACTAGGCTAAGTGAGAACATCTGCAGTGAATAGACACTCCTCCACGTGATCATAGAATTCCCTGCTTTATTTATGGATTAATGTAAAAGTACAAATTCACAAGTTACATTTGTTTGATTGTAATAAAACAGTTGAGCATTCCCCTGGGTTAAATTTCAATTTGAAATACAATGTTAGTTAAAATAACTAATTTAAAAAAGCATTTTCTTAAAGGTTAGTTTATTTTACAATAACAACTAACATGTGCAATACAATTAAAAGGTTTACTTTAGAAATTCTAGTACTACGTGAAACTTTCATTATAATGTAAAATATATGCCAACTAATTTAGTGTATTGTACAACACTAAATAGATCTGTTTGAGTGCAGGATGACTCTTTGCACTGACTTAACCACAGCATGTTGGTTACCAGATACACAAAACCAAAAAAAAAAAGTTTTTTTTTCTTTTGGTTTATTCAACATAATAACATGAAAACAAACTGTTGCCACATAGTTTCGTTAATATGCTCATTTTGTATCTCATTTGATCAATGGGTGCTTTTGGCAACTTTTTGGTCACAACAATGATCATTTCAGAAATAAAAACAAACATTTTTGAATTTTGAAAACATAGAACACTTTTTCTCTGATCCTTGTGTAGCAAATATGATACAGATGCTTTCTAGGGTAAAAAATGAAACCTGAATCATGATTGTTTTTATATTGAAGTGAATTTACAGGACCCCATTTAGTTTGGAACTTCCCAGTAAATCAAATGTGGGCCATGTCTTTCTGCTGCTGTTCTTAAAATTGACAAACATCGTTTTAACCCATTACCTTAGTGAGCGGGCAACACTTAACTTCCTCAACCACCAGGCCCCCACTGTTGAATTGGTCGATGTCGGAATTTGAGTGGGATCCTACCCACCTTCACGGACAGCTACATCGCCAGATGCAGGAAACGGGCCTCCTGCATCATGAAGGACCCCACCCACTCCGCACATGCGCTGTTTGTCCGCGGAGCATCAAAGGCAGGACCACCGGACAGCTTCTTCCCTGAAGCTGTGAGACTGTTGAACTCCAGAGGACCCCACACACCTCCTGACACCCCCTCCCAGACCTCCCTCTCCCTCCTCTCACAACCACCCCATAGACATTACATATCTTTAAACATACTGCATTACTACACAGTTTTTGCATCTTGCACAACCCTCCCCTCCCCCCAATGTTGTTTCTGCACAATCGCCACTTTTTCTTGTTGTTGTCATTGTGTCATTTCACTGTAAAAGTTAATATCCCTAGTTACAACACAAACAATCCTGGACCACAGAAGAATCTGGATTTGACCCAATCTACCTAGAAACCGTGGTCTGGTTCTCAGTTCACCCCACATCCTGGTATTGCATTGGTCTGGTGTGAATTATTTCATCCCACAAAGTTTTGGTCCTCTTTCCTCTTTAAATGTCATTGGTCAATAAGGCCCATGGTTTTGATTCTGCTGTAGTTCTCACACAGCTGGTCATCATGTCAGTCTGTGATCTGATCGATGAGGATGTTGCTGAAAAGACAATGTTTGGACGTTTCATTCTTCTTTTGGACGCTCCTAAATCAAGAAGTTTGTACCTCGGTCAGTTGTTTTTCATCCCTCAGTGAGGTCGTCATTAAAGTGGAGCAGCAGGGCAGGAACAAAGAGGTCACGGTCCAGTCGTAGCTCTTCTAGCTCCATGTCGTCATCTGGAACATTGTTCTCGTCCAGTGTCTTGTTCATGTCCAGACACGCCGCGTTGTATTTCCAGGTGTAGCTGCGAGCGTGGGAGTTGTAGCGCAGGTAGCGCTCGAGGATCACATCCAGTGTCTCCTCTGAACACACCTGGAGGAGGAGATGAAGGAGAGTTGGGATGACAGGAGGTTCTCTGAGTCTGCTCATCGGCATCCTAGTAACTGAATGATTTGTCAAAGGTTTACCTGTAACCTCTGCTCCTGCGATGTCAGGGTGTTGAGAACTCGTATCCACCTGGCTTTCGTTGTCAACCGCCCCACCTCATATTGTTGATCCTTCCACCAGGGCTGACCAATGTCACCGGCCCAGTCTGAGTGAGGACCAGAGGGTGGGGTGTGGACAAAGCGCCCTCTGGGGGTGTAGTACCTCACACAGTTAGTCAGTGGGTCTACATGTTTCAGGACCTGAGGAGAGACACTAGCAGGTAGTATCAGCAAGAAATGATTCCTTTATTTTAGTATAAAAATAAATAGTTGTGATTTTAAAAGATTCGTTTTTAAAACGAACGCAATGATTAACAGACTGTTGTGATGTAACACACTGATAATTGATTCAATATCAGATTCAATTAGTGGTTCAGGACTATGTTGACAACTTTGACATTAAATTCTTAAACAGGAAACTCTGGTTTGTGTATCACTGCTTGTCCTATGTTTGTGTCAACGAGGATCACTAACCAATCACTATGTATTTTGATGTTAAATTTCTAGTTTTCTCTGTGGACTTTGGCAATGGGGTTCACTGCTTCATCTCACTGTTGGACTGACTTTTCCAGATTATGCTGCTCACACACTCACGTCTTTTGTTTCAGGGTCAAACCAGTGGCTGATGTCTTTTCCTGCACATTCCATGATTGGCAGGAGCAGAGCGTCACCTACTGGCACAGAGAAAATATTATGAAAATATTCTGCTGTGATGTTTTGGACCACAAAATGTAAGGCAAAGCAAGGAAATAGAAGATTGAAATATGCCACTAGAGGGCAACTGGTTGCAGGGATAAAATCACTTAAATTAAAGGGGAAATATGTGAGACATTTATTTCCACACCTGTTGAGTGTAAAATCACCTTTGAACTGGTTCATTAGAGGGGTCAGGTTGCACACTTTGCCCAGAAATGACACCCAAAGGTCCTCAGCAGTGTTGTGGGCAGCCACCTCAGCTGGGGTGAAGTACTTGGGTGTGTCCATAACTGTCTGCTAGAGTGAATCTGAATTTAACACGTCTGTGGATACAAAGTTCCTGGTTGTTAATGTGTTAAATTAAAATACAAAGATTCATGGATGTGAAGAGGTAGAAGTGTGTGGTGGTCCACATATGTAGCCTTTTACCCACCATGTGATCCACATGCAAAAGCTGTGGCCTACTTCTTCATTGATACAGCCAACAGTTGGGCTTTATAATGTGGCATGGCTGCCTCCTTCTGGACTTGATCAATCATTACACTATAAACCTGAGGCTTCTTTTATTAGAACTTTGGCTTATTCCTTATTAATTAGTCCTGATGTGATGTTTTACTTTTATCCTTTTTCCTTTCATCTTTGAAGGTAGAGTGGGGAATGAAGGTAAACCTTGTCACAGTCTGTGTGAATGTGGACATGTGTGACAACATATTTCAATTGCATTCTTTCATCTGTTTCTCAATGTTAAATGTTGAGGTTGCATTAATGCCTCCCAAGGGTATCACCAAGAATGTGCTAGACATTTCGAAACAAAATTAAGGATGGCACGTTCATTAATGTTTTACAGACATTTCTCCAATCATTAAACACGTATCTCCTATATAGAAAGCAACAGAAGAAAGTGTTGATTAAAAAACAACGGAACATTTTCTTAAATCAAATCAGAAATCTAACCTGGTACCCTCATGACATGCCTTCCACTTCACCAGTTTTGCTGTATTGTTAGGTTTCTACGGCAACGCACTAGCGCAGGTTGGGAGGGACTTCCGGTTGCAGTCCTAGGAAAATAAAGGTAGAAATAACTAACAATAAATAATAAGATATATCACAACGGTCACATAGTGAATTTAAGCAATAAAAACACATTAAAGCTTATATATGGAGGAGATATGAATCAACAGCCATCTTTTCATTAATTTTAATTCATAGTCGTAATAACATCACATGATCAATTGAATTAAACACTAAATATTCAATTTGATCAAAAGCAATACTGTGCCTCTTTGTTTTTCTCTCTTTTCCTATCCTTCTCTCTCTCTCTCTCTCTGACTTTCCCTCTCTCATTGTGGAATATGTCACACGTGGCAAACATTCACATTCTCTGTTTTCGCGAACTTTCTGCCGCAGGAAAAAAAATCAAGAGATCATTGATTTCCATTTGTCCCGCTCTGATTGGATTCTGCTGGCGCCTGCTGTGCTCTGGTTAGGCATCACCTCTGTCGACTTAGCTTGAGGCTGCTCTTATTGGTTGATTTTCTAACATGGGCGGGTTCTTTTCATTTTTAAGGATTTTCTGTGTTGACATCTCTACAGTGCAGTTCTTAGTATCGCGAGATTATAACCCGTTAGTTGTACAAGCGTCCTAGCGTAGCGGATGGAGTGAGGGAGATAGAAGAGGACTTCTATTTTTACATGTAAAATTGTTTAGTTTGTGTGTTTTTAAATGTCCACCATGTGTTATCGTCTTTTCTGCCTGGTGGTTTTCGTCATCGACTACAGCTCCGTGTCCGCCGAACAGCGAAAGCTTAGTCCAGGTAAGGCCGCTTCGGAGGCTTCCCTACCCCGGCAGCCTGGACCACCATGTCCCGCTGGAGCAGCGTTGTACTCGGGTTCCTTTCAACTAACAACGACTAAACACATTTCTATTTAAACTGTTGTCCCGTTTTAGACTAATGAAAAAGTATGACAGGGTTTGTTACACTGTATGTGTGTGTCTGTGCGTTTTACCTGGTAAAAACAGTTTTTAACTTTTTACGTCGCCTGAAGGCTAGTTAACTGAAATACAAGTCTGGGCGAGTTTTAAATGTTACTGCTCCAACAGTTAAACATATTTGAAAAACTGTAACCAATTTGTCTTAAGTAACATGTTAAGTACAGGTCAAGATAAAAACGTAAGCCAAAATATTAAAACATTTCGCCAAAATACAGTAGAAGGTACGTGGATTGGCGACCATTCAGCAACGGTTGCTGAATGGTCGCCAAATATACTGTAGCTGGGCAATAGTAACGTCACAAAAATGTGGAAATCTAATGCAGCTGACTTGAAAAACTTTGGTTTAGTTGAGAGGTAAAATAAAATCATGCAAAACAAGAAATGCTCACGAATAAAAAAACCAACATACAACATATATAGCTAAAACATCTATTATATTACTCATTACTCAATATTACTCTGACCATTGGGAAGAATAAACATGATTAAAAAAACAACCGCTGCTTTAGTTTATGGATAAATATCAGTAACTTACAGTATATATGTTACCTTTTAAATCCAAATGTAAATGTCCTTCTAAAAATACTTAACTCTAGTGGGTTTTTAAAAAAATGTGTGTCCAAAAATACAGGATAAAAGTCTAAGGATATCCACCAATTTGGTACGAATGTGCCCTTATGCTTAATAATGGTTTTTAAAAAAATAATCATTCATCTTAGCTTTTTGGCATTTTAAGTCAGTGAAAGGTCCGAAAAACACATTTAAATAAATTGAGATGATGTAAAATCATAAGTACAGATTAAGGAGTGTTTTACTGTACAGTATCTTTAATTTTATCTAAACTTTAGCCTGTAATTGTGAGAGTTAAAAAATAGAGACAGAGAGAGAACAGTCAAAGAGCTTTCACAGTGTTTTGTAAATTTGTCTTTAATTGTAGTTATTGTTTGTTGATAGTTGGGCAGTAAAACTCAGGTGGGACCCAGGATGGTTTTCCGTTGTTGTGTTCAGTTTCTGTCCTGATATTACAGCCATCATCTTTTGTCAGTTTTTCTTTGATGACTTGTGTGACGTCTGTAGCACTGACCTGGTGTCACCTGCAGGCTTTTGTTTTGGTCCTAGCTGAGGGAACTGAGCGTTGCATCAGAGTCCCACATTTCTGCAGCAGGAAGGAAACAAGGAGAATGTCTAATGACTTTAAATAACAAACATATGGAAGACATTAAGTGGGTGTCGAGTCTGGTTCTGGTTCACAATGGTCTAAAGAACAGAACACACCAAATGTCACAATCAATGAGACAAATGTCGAGATTCAGAGCCGTGTTTGGAATCAATGCTGCTGTTTCCTGCTGTCTGTACAGAGAGTAGTGAGAACAGCTGTCTGTCTGTGTGTGTGTTTGAACAGCTGTGTGTATGTTGTCCAACACTTAAGCTGCAGATTTGTGAGCAATCACTTTTCTTTGCTTTGTCAAAAACCAACCTAGTACTCATCAGGATAATCTCTGTCTGTTAATTATATTAGCTTTATGGTTCTCAAACTATGTTAGGTGTACCTCATACAACTTAAGTTTAGTATCAGCTTAAGTTGTGATTTTGTGTGAGTATAAAGTACTTAAAGTTCATTAATCACCCCCTCCACCACCTAAGTACATAGAGAAAAAAGGGGTTTTATCTCGGAGCATTACAGCAGCTGCTGATCCACTTCCACCTCCATCACTTAGTTCAAATGTATCATTTTGTAACATCAGAGTTTCTAACCCTTCATTCATTTCAACCTCAGTGCCACAAACTGACCACAGGAGGCTGCAGCTCCCTTCTCTCTGAGCTAAAATAACACAAGTTTCTGAGTGAATGTTGGTGTGAGAGAAGAAGTTGTCATGAATTTGTCTCCTCACAGTAGAGTGTTTAACAGCATGGTAGCCCCTGTGGACTACCCAAGGTGCCTGTAGTGTATGTTCCAGAAAATAAAACTAGTCAACAAGAGGTTATTGTGCTTTTTGAATCAGTTACACCTGCAACGATATTGAAATGGGTGCAATGACGATGGTATTATTACATTGTTCAGGAAGTCTGTATTAAACAAGTAGCTCTCCGTATTACTAAGTGCTTTTGAAGTAGCTCCCAGTTTCAGGTGACCTCTGCCATAGACTATATAGATACTGTTGATTTCTGGAGGCCAAAAACATTTTAAAATTGTACAATATCATCTGAGTTTTTCAGAAGGGTTAGTATTCCATTTCCTCATACTGCTCCTCAAAACCTCAGAAGACAAGGAGACTTTTGTCACTGAATCTTCTGTCTCCTCCTACCTTCCCTTCCCCTCTCCTCCTCTTGCCTACCCACCCCGGCTCTCCCCTCTGTAACCTTTTCTGAGGTAATATAGAGGAGTTTCACTCTCACTACATTCCTCGAAAGCCTGGCTGCAGTGAGAAGAAGAAAAATGTGACCTCTGACCGTTGCAGTCAGTCACAGAGATGTTTCTTTTTTAAATGTTTGTCCCTTTTTGACAATTAGATGTTTTTTTGTGATTGACCACTGTTAGCAGTTTTCTTTGTTTTGTGTATAAATGACCAACCAAGGGGGGGGCACTAGATATCCAACCCAGAACAATTGGTAATTGGCAGCATTTGTGTCTCACCTTCAATTAAACTGGAGGAAAAAACACACTCGGTGAATGTTGTTATAGCTGTAGTCCAGGGAAACAACAACAGGCTGAGCAGGGGTGATATCTTAAAGATGGGATGAGAAAAGCTATCTATGTGGCCCAAACATGTTGGCTAAGTCCCACTCAGCGGGCTGCATCCACCCTTCCACCTTTCCCCTTAGAGCCTACAAGGGTCAGATAAGAATTGACCTATTCATCTGCAGACAACCAGAGGTCAAACCTCGGCAATGGGACAGTCAGACTGATGGTAGTTGTAGCTGCTGGGTGTCCATCTGTGGTGAATTTGTGGAAATGTTAGATTCTAGACTATATAGCCTTGTTCCCATGCAGCCTATGAATTGGGCCACAGCTCTTGTCTATAAGGACAGGTTGATGAAGCAGTCTTCTTTGATGCAAAAAGATGTTAGTTCGGTTCCAGCTTTACACTCAACCAGTCTGTTATTGTATCGTTTGACGTGCAATAAAGTGGTGTCACTGATTGTTGTGAAAGTTCTTGGTTATTTTTAATGTATCACCTGACTCTGTCGCCAACAGAAAACTTGCTGGTGATCACTGCGGCAACGGAGGCTACAGATGGTTTCAACCGTTTCATGAGAACAGCGAAGGAGTTCAACTACACTGTCAAGGTAACAACAGTGGACAATCTTTACAGTTTCTATTGTGAAGTTTAGAAGCTCACAGACCAGTCCATAGAGAAAGTCAGTGATTTTAGCTCACAGTAATAGTCCTGCATGTGTCACTGAGGTAAATCTAAACCAAGGATTTTAATTGTCAAAGTCATACTATGACACACGAGTCTGGTAGTGGAGGAGGCATTGAATAAATTAATGCTGTGTTCTGTAGGATAAAATCAATGGTATTTTTATGGTCTTTACTATGGGACTAAAACATTTTCTCTGTGTGTATCTAGGTGCTGGGTCTGGGGGAGGATTGGAAAGGTGGTGACGTGGCTCGGACGGTGGGTGGAGGTCAGAAGGTCAGATGGTTAAAAAAGGAGCTGCTCAAACACTCAGAAAAGGAGGACATGGTCATCATGTTTGTGGACAGGTAAAAAAAAACACAGCTTGGTTTGTGTGTATTTATGTGTGTTATATCAATATCATCATTGTCATTCATCTGTCCCACTTTTATTTTGTCTCCTCCCTCCATCTATTGTCTCAACTCTTTCCGTTACTTTCTCACTGAGGTTTGGTTACAGAGAGAATTGAGCGTCTGAGGCAAAACCTGAGACAGGGGCTGTGTAAAAATGTTTCTTAATTAAGGTTTTAGGGCACCACAATACTGATACTTTAGGTATCATAAAGTATCAGTGTACTTGATGTGATTTTAGATCATCAGTAAAAACGTTACTATTTTACTGACAAAGTTTTAGGCATCACTAGGCACAATTTCAGAAACTCTAAAAGTTGATGAAGCTAGCACAATAGATAAAAGTTAGCCATAACAGATGCAATAAAATTAGAGATTAGAAAGCTAAAACCTGGCCACAAAAATTAGAAATGAGCAAAACCTCTTTGTCCTTATATGAAAAATCTAAATGTTAAAGGTTTAGTGAAAGGTAAAAAAACAAGTTAAGATAAACATAAGGCTGAAAAGTTCTCAGAATGTGGCTAAAGGATAGCTTATTAGTGAGAAAGTCTGCAACGTAACAAACAGCTTAAGGTAAAATTGTAAAAATGTCCAAAAGTCTAGAAGTCGGCTAAAGCACTCACTGTGAGGAAAAAGAAACTTTAATTGTTATGTGCCAGGAATCAGGTTTAAACAACAAATAGTTAAAGTTTAACTGCAGCAAAAAAGCTAAAATAAAATAAAAATAAATTAATAAAAAAACTAAAACTCAAAAAATCATAAATACTGCAAAAATGTAAATGTATAAGGAAGTGTGTCGAGAAGTAGTGTTTAGTTATTTAAATATAAAACAGTCGCTACTAAAATATGTTTGAGATGAGATTTTCTTAAAAATATTTTGACTTAAATTTTTTTTTCCGTTTTATTTGTTTTCATTTTGCAGCTATGATGTCATCTTTGCTTCTGGTCCAGAGGAGCTTCTCTTTAAGTTTTCCCGTCTAGGTCACAGAGTGGTCTTCTCAGCGGAAGGATTCTGCTGGCCCGACCAGAGACTGGCCCCCAAATATCCAGTGGTGCACACTGGGAAACGCTACCTCAACTCTGGAGGTTGGAAGCCAACACACAAATAAACACTAGGAAGTGTTTCTGTTTCAGCGACACACGAACCAAAAGTCTGCTCCTCCTGTGTCTGTCTGCAGGTTTCATTGGCATGGCTCCAGACCTGAGTGCCATCGTTCAGCAGTGGAAGTTCAAGGACAATGACGACGACCAGCTTTTCTACACCAAGATCTACCTGGACAAGACACAGAGGGTGAGAACATGAAGAAGCTGTGTTACAAAAACACGCGTCATTGTGACTGTATTATGAATTAAAAAAAACTAAATACAAAATTTAAACAAAAGAAAATTATGTCATTAAGCAAAAACATATAACTCAAGTGGTTTTTATTTTTGACAGACAAAGTTTAACATGACTCTGGATCATCGCTCGAGAATCTTCCAGAATCTGAACGGAGCTGTTGGTAAGACACGTACACATTTCCTTTGTTTAACTGTCATTTGCTCCTGGGCCTAAACTGGGTGCTTGTCTATATCTGTGTCTTTGTATGCGTCAGATGAAGTGGTCCTGAAGTTTGAGAGGGCAAAGGTCAGAGTGAGGAACGTTGCCTACGACACACTTCCTGTCGTTATCCACGGGAATGGGCCCACAAAGGTAAGAAACCAACACCAGCTACTGTGTCACTCACAGATACAGTTCCTGGTACTTGTTCCTCTGGTACAAACACACTATAACTGTTGCCAGTTCTGGGAACTAATCTTTGCCACGAACATGTTTCTTCATACTTCATAAGTAGAACCAAAATTTGAAACCCACTCAGTTCAGTTTCTACTTCCAGCCTTTGAACAGACATAGTCCCTGGTACTCTTCAGTCTGTGCTGTAAAAGTCTTGTTGGTCTGGTGTGTGTGTGTGTGTGTGTGTGTGTAGCTGCAGCTCAACTATCTGGGGAACTACGTGCCGACAGCCTGGACCTATGAGAACGGCTGTGGACACTGTGACGATGATCTGCTCTTCTTCAACGACGTAGAGGTAAATAGAATTCATCCTTCGTACTTCTCTTTGAGACTTATTTCTTTAGTTACACTTCTTGATGTATGTTTTCACCCCAGGACGAGGAGATGCCCCTGGTCTACGTGGCTGTCTTCATCGAACGTGCCACACCCTTCATGGAGGAGTTTCTGGAGAGACTGACCACGCTCAATTACCCCTTGACCAGGATCCGCCTCTTCATCCACAACAATGTACGCAGAGACTCAAAATGAGCGAAGTCTCTGATTGATTCTGAGAAAGGGTGTGATTGGTTCTCATCTACCCATGAATTCAGGTGGTGTACCATGAACGTCACATCCAGAAGTTCTGGGAGCATCACAGGTATCTGTTCCCTGACGCTCTGATAGTGGGACCAGAGGAAAACCTAAAGGAGGACAAGGCCCGAACCATGGCTGTGTGAGTGCAGAACAAAATATACAGACAGGAGTCTGAGATGGAGGTGGAGAAGATGGAGATGCAGAGATTTCAGAAAGGACAGGATGCGAAATGAGCAGTTTGTAGATAAAGTCAGAGAGCAGAGGTTAAGATGGTTTGGTCATGAACTGAGGACAGATAGTGAATGTATAACTATGTAAAAGTATTAGCTATAGCAACCGAAAAGGTCTTGTGTACCTCACAAACTGAAATAGATATTTTAAATAATAGAAAATGCACATTTCTTCACAGAAACACTGCCCATCACCATTAATCTCCTCTTATTAAGGTCAAAATGGTCTGGTCCTATTTTCCTCCCTGACTGTCGGTATATTAAACGACCAAAGAAATTACTAAAATATAAACTGGAAAAAGTTTTCACAGAAACACTGTAATACACAAACAGTGTTTCCCAGGTTCTGTTTGAACACCTGAATGTCACTCGCTACGTAGAGACCTGACCAGTTGGTTTAATTTGGTCACAACCACTGTTTTTAGCTGCATATCGCCACCTGCTGTACTACTGTTTGTAGTCTCATGGTATAACCACTGACTTTTTTAGATAACGAGTGGACTCAGACATCTGTTGTCAAAAGTGCATTGGTTTCACTTTGTTGACTTCTGACCAATCAGAAACTAGTACTGGGGGTTAACAATCTCATTTTAAATACCTTGTAAGATGCCTTCTTGTTCACCATTTTTAACATATGCACTTTTTGTATTTGTGTGTGCGTGCTATTGCATGCATATAGAGAGGCGTGTAAGAAGGATCCAGAGTGTGATTATTACTTCAGCATTGACTCTGACGTGGCTGTCACAAACCCTGACATCCTGAGGATTCTGATGGAGGAGAACAAGTGAGTTAAAATGTTGGACTGCTTAGCTTTTAGACATATAGTTGTCCCTCATTCTGATGTCACTCATTTCCAGTGTCTGTGAGGCCCAGAAAAAGTTAGCTTAGAAGAAGGTAAAAGTTGGCCCAGAATTTGATGACGGCCAGAATCAGGTACCAAATTTGACCAAAAATTGCTAAAAGTTAACACATATTTAGATAAAAGATAGCCCAGAAATAGCTAGATGTTAGCCTTTGAATATATTAAATTCAGCCCTCTTGTTAAACAAGCGTGCGTTTGTCTTTGTGTTGTTTGACTCTGATGCTGTCAGTTTTAAGTTTCTTTTGTGTGATTTGCTCAGGTCCGTCATTGCTCCCACATTATCCAAACATGGAAAACTGTGGAGTAACTTCTGGGGAGCCTTGAACCCTGAAGGGTACTACTCCAGATCTGAGGACTATATTGAGATTGCCCAGGTAACGAGAATGTGAGTGGAGCAAAAACAAAACTGGTTCAAACATTTTTTCATTTTTACATCAGTTTAAACAAATTGTGCGTGTGTGTGTTTCAGTGGTGTGTGGAATGTGCCGTACATCACTCAGGTCTATCTGATCAAAGGCAGCATCCTTCGGTCCAAACTGTCCCTGGTCCGACTGTTTGAGAGCGAGGGCATGGATTCTGACATGGTTTTCTGCAAGAGCATCAGAGATCAGGTGGTTCTTCATGTCAGCTCTGATGTCCTGCTCATTAATGACTGTGTATCACATTCCTCCTATTAACGCGGTCTGACTCTCAGGGCGTCTTCATGTACGTGTCCAACCGTGAAGAGTTTGGTCGCCTGGTGGCATCCAATAACTTCAACACATCCAGGCTGCACCCAGACATGTGGCAGATCTTTGACAACCCTGTGGTCAGACTCCTACACACACACACACACACAGATGTAAAATTGTCAGTGATAAAACAGGAACACCCTCTGAGTGTGTTTGTGTGTTTGTGTTTACAGGACTGGAAGGAAAAGTATATCAACGAGAACTACTCCAAGATTTTTGAAGACCAGAAGAGCTTTGTGGAGCAGGTAATTGTTCTTCGATGTACAAGAAGATGATCAGAACCCGAGCCTGTTGTTGTTGACTGTCTGTACTTCGAGGAGAAGGTTTAGAATCAGAGGAGAGAAGGAGAGAGGGAAGGAGTAGTGAGAGTGAGGAGTGAAGTGTGAAGCAGCAGGAGACAGGAGGGGACGAAGAGAGCAGGAAGATGAGAGAGACACAGAACAAGGATAAAGGACATAAGTAAAGGACAGAGGAGGAAATGAAGGACATTGAAGGGTGATGGGGAGGAAGGGAGTCAGGGTAAGTGACTGCAGTGTTGTTCTTCTGTTCACTGTGTGTGTGCACTGTGTATACTCTATTACAGCAGTCTCCAACCTTTTTTGTGGTTAAACCTCAGAGAAAATGAAAGTTTTTAACGAAGACGACATTGATCCACTGCTGCCCAAGTCACTGATGTTTTATGTAATGACTCCACTTTGCATTGTTGTTGTTCAGATTAACCTTAATGACAGAAACTAACCACAGGAGGCAGCAGTGGCTACTGTGTTCCTGTAAGCTAACATTGATCATTTTTTAATGAACTTTGATGTGTGAGCAATTGTTTTATAGAGTTGAATTACATATCTTGCTTTTAGTTTTCATTTATGTTTAGATGATCTGAAGTTGAGTAATCAACTGATCTGTTTGTGTTTCAGCCTTGTCCAGATGTTTACTGGTTCCCAACCTTCTCAGAGAAGATGTGCGATCACCTGGTGGAGACCATGGAGGACAATGGAGGGTGGTCTGGAGGAACCCACAAGGTAATGCTTTCATCTGCGGACCCAACTGAGTAAAAAAAGACTCTTTGGCTGTAAAGAATGACTCTTTGTTATATATAATATTTGTTTTCCATTCAGGATGAACGTCTGGCTGGTGGATACGAGAACGTTCCAACTGTGGACATCCACATGAACCAGATTGAATTTGAAAAGGAGTGGTTGAAGTTCCTGAAAGAGTACATTTCTCCCGTCACCGAGAAACTCTACCCTGGATATTACCCAAAGGTACAGTCAATAGAATACCCCAAAGACAAACAAACTCCACTGAACGTTAGCCAAATCAAATTAGTTTGAACATACCTGGTTCTGCCTTTACATAGATGAATGTTAGCCACTAATGTAGCTGAAATAATAGCTGAATTTTCTCTGTATTAGTTTCTGGTAGTTCTCCACAAAAGGCTTAATGTTATTCAAAACATTCATGCAGAAATGTCTAATGAAAAGAAATCAACAAGTTTGTCAAATATTGCCAGCTAGGAATTTACTGAATGTTTACACAAAATAAATGTTTAAAAAGAAACTAAGTGCAAATAAATAAGTCAATAAGCAAAATTTGGAAATTGGAAGTTAAAAATTGAATTTGTTTTTCACTTTTGTGTATATGTGTGTATATAGTGTGTGTATATAAATATGTATGTGTATATATATATATATATATATAAATAAACATATATAAATAAGCAATCAAACAAAAATTTTAGCAAAACAGCTGAAGTTAAATCAAAGTCACCTTTTCAAGGTTAGACCTTTTTAATTAAAAGGGTGAATTGTCAGATATCGTTCCTTTAGTGGAAATACTGTACATTGTCAGTAACCAAACATTTGCCAAAGAATTGTGTGGTAAAGATTAGCCCTAACATAAAAACGTGATGTTACCCAAAGTCATAGCCATACAAGCAATTAAAAACCAAATTATTATTTCAATTGGTCCTGAAATCATGCCACATTTTTTGCTAAAAACAACCTTAAAATGTCAGCCAAAAATAACAGCAGAAAATTTAACAGTGCTGTACAGAAGCTAACTGTGAGGAGCGTCTCTCTCTATCTCTCACTCACTCACTCACTCACTCTCACACACACATACACTGGTGTCAGTTTTCACACATGTGATGGTTGTTCTGTGTGCGCTCACAGGCACAAGCCATCATGAACTTTGTTGTGCGCTATCGTCCTGATGAGCAGCCCTCCCTGCGGCCACATCATGACTCTTCGACGTTCACCGTCAACATCGCTCTCAACAATAAGAACATCGACTATGAGGTAAAAACACACTGTGATACAGAACAATCACACAAACACCTTTGTGAATGTCAATAATGTGTGTGTGCGCACGCATGCCCGTGTGCTGTGTAATCGTGTGACAGGGAGGTGGCTGCAGATTCCTGCGCTACGACTGCAAGGTGGAGTCCCCCAGAAAAGGCTGGTCCTTCATGCACCCGGGTCGCCTCACACACTACCATGAAGGCCTGCCCACCACCAGGGGGACCCGTTATATCATGGTATCGTTTGTTGACCCCTGATTCTGTTTTTCTTTTTAATTTTAAATTTTTTTTTTAAACAGTGTGTGTTTTTGTGTGGACTGTGCCTCACAACAGAACAAATGAGGTCATTCCAGAGCGCCCTCCTCTGGCCTCCCCTCAGAGGTGAACATTTTGAATAATGATTCTCATTCTCATTATCATTAGGCGCAGTTTTTTGTGTCACATCACTTTGCTTTATCAGGTGTGTTTGCAGTTTGCACAACTCTGACAGAAAAACAGTGTTTTTGACCCAACACCCTTTGCTACAACAATGTCCATGGAGGTACTGGCCTTAAATCACCAGTTATCTTTCTGGACTTTGTGTAGTTGTCACCATGTTGCCTTATTACAGACAAACTTAAAGTAAATCTATGCAATATTGAAACACTCCAATATTTTTATTCTGCAACAACACTAAGTTCCCGGTAGAGGGTGCTGTCCTCTGATGTTTAACTGCAGTGCTACAGTGTCAACTTCCACAATTTCAGTTAAATAGTTTTAATTCTCACAAACAATTATATTTTTTATTGTAATGTTAGGTGGGATAAACTTAAGTTTTGTAACTTTTTACTGTTTTAGGAAAACATCTACCTGTTTAATTTTATTTTATTATTCACTCATTTCTACTTTGCATCTTGTCAATGTGAAATCAAGGTGTGTCCTCAATCTCCATTCTTATTTAAAACGAGGTTTGCACCCAGCACCACCTGTAGGTGGCACATGTGTCAATGCTAGGAATTAGCTTTGTACAATACTGCATTAAGTTATTTGTTAATGTTTGTTTGGAGATTTTAATAAATAATTTTAGTGTAACACCCATGGTACTTTGTCTGGTCTATTGCCAGGATTTTTTGCACAACACCTTCAGGTACAAATAATTTTATTGACAAAGCTCGCGAAAAAGTAAAACATGTCAAACAGAATTTACTTTTAAAACCTTTTTATTGACCTTTAAAATAAACTGTAATAAAAAGTAAAGATAGACGCTTCAGAAAATATTTATGATCATCCACGTTGTGCTACTCTGCTGGTCAGCAATGAAACTGCAACCAGTAAAGCTCTTTGTGAGTATACCAAATAATTCAATTTGAAATTAGTGTCCACATTTTATACAAAGATTGGTCGGGACATACAGAGGGCTCACTGCCAGATGCTCTTTTGTTTACTTGTCCCAATGGCCAATTGAAAAGCATAAGTAAGGCGATTTTGGAACGGCGGAAAACTCGCAGAGCGATTAAAAAAAAAAAAAAAAAAACAGGCACCAGCCAAATTCTGCAACCGTTGCTAGTGTAACCAATTTTTGTCCTGGTTGTTCTGAGTTGTGCTCGGCTAAGTTTTGGTTATTAAACGGCATGTGTAGATTAATTGTGAAGGGGATACGGGAAGTGTGTGGATCGACGAAGTTTTCCTCTCGTGTCTTTGTCGTTTTATAACAAAGTATAAACGCCCTGATACTCGGCTACAGTAGTTTTGTGGTGGCGGACCATGAAAACCGAGTCGTGAAAATCCGATAACAATTAAAGAAACAGTTTCTATGCACCGACTTCAATGAGAGACATGGCGTGCGAAGTCAACTAAGGGCCCGGCCATGAAGACGGCAGCAAACATTTTCATTCAACGAAACGTTGGACCTAGAGGATTCCGTCACGATGGGTCAAGTGATGGACACGATATTAGGTAAGTTGTGCTTTTATGCAGATGTGTAAACTTCCTAGGGCTGCAGAATGGAATGCTTGATTTGACACTAATATAGGAGCAGACACGGGCGAAAGACACGTGTCAGGCAAAGGTGAAATGTTGACATGTCAAATAAATGAACGGCTCTCGCACTACGGAGCCGAGAGAACGTAAAAATTATTTATGACGTTACTTCAAAATTCACTTGATCGAAAGCTGCCTAGAGTTCACAGTGTCCTGCACCAGGAAGTAAAACGCGCTCAAATATTTCCTCCTGATGCTTGGACATTGTCATTCAGATAATAAACTAAATAATGACGAATGGGTTAACTAATCTACAGTTGTTTTCATTTTTAGACAGCCTGTTGCATCTCAAAGTCCGATGGCTGTCAAGGGAAAAGGCCCGGAAACATTTCGCTGGTTGTCAGGACGAAACGCACGTCGAAACTGTTCTAGAAAACAAGGACCAGGCTGGAAAATCTGTGATTCCCGGTGGATGTGACAGGTAACATTAACACTGAATAAAAGGAATATTTCAGTATAATATTTAAGTGTATAAAGTATATTCAAATGAGTAAACATATATGTTATATTTTTATTCATTTTTGTGAAACTTTTATTTAGAAGACCTTTTAGTATGATACATATACTGTACAGTCTAATTAGTATTTTGTTTTAAACATTTTTTTACCATAAAATAAATGGCTATGTATTTTAATACAAATTAATGCATTTCTATTGTTCTTTGTGACTTATCTTTATAGACTTTTTCAGGAAATTATTATTATAGTATATTACTGTTGACGTACCAAAACATTTATCCCATAAAAAAGTGAAACGTTTAGCCTAGATGAGGCATTTCAATTCATTTTATAGAAGCTTGTATTTGAAGACTTTGAGAATCTTTTTAGTATAGTATATTACTCTAATCAATCGTTGATGTACATAAAAGTATTTTTTTTCAAATTTTAACCACAAAAATGGACATAGCTAAGTATTTTAAGGCAAATTA